ACTTAAAATTTATTAACAGAATATATTTCATGTTATATGATTTTTATCACAATTTTTGAAATATATATGTAGAGTGAAGTCTCTTGGCTTTTGGCTTCTTCTCAGTGTGGAGCAATGATCACCAGCAGCATCTTTTCAGAAGTATTTGCCCTCCCAGCAGAGCTTTCAAAAATCAACCTGGGAGGATGATATATAACCCTACCAGCATCTCTGACCTTGGAACTGTGGTGTTATCGATACAGACAAAAATCAAAAGCAAATTCTGGAAATCTTCCATAATTGTTTTTGTTTTTTGAAAACAATATCATTATCTTCTTCCACTAGCCACGTGAAAAGCAAACAAGGAAGTTATTTTACAGAGATAATTAAGCTGGTGATGTTTTTCTTCCTTGGGGGGAAAAAAATAAAAGGCTTCATATTCTAAAATTGTTTTCTTAAGAGATGGTAACATTTAAATGTCTATGGAAATGTCAAGACACCCTTTACACCTGCCAAAGAACTTAAATTGGACTGTTTGAAGAAAAATGCATCTCTTCCAAAGCAGAAGGCTTCTGTGAACATGAGACTGCCACCCCCTGCTGGTAATTAATTCGGGCAAACAAATTAGCTCAAGGCAGTGTGCCCAGGGTCTAGAAAAATTAAGCTAAGTCCAAAGAATTTTTCTTAAATAAAGCTGGAGATCAGAAGGGTAGGATTGGAGTGGCCCCTTCCAGCTGATCTTCACCAGCGCTCTGATCTTTGCATGACTTGATCTTGAATATTTACTCCAAGCACTTCCCTAGATTTGAGAGAACACAGCAACCAGCTGGATGTGAGAAATGAGAAAAAGAGGTGAAGACGGCAGCCATGTCTAGGCTGGGGGAGAGGATGATGCTGCTGTTAATACAACAGGTATGACCAAAGGAATCACAGGGTTTAGAGGAACCTGACCAGTTAGAATTTGAACATGTTTAACTTGTGGCTTGCTTAGTCATGTACACGTGGCAGTTGGAAAAACAGGCTTGAATAGCATAGAAACAGCACTTTGGGAATTAGGTGCCTAAAAGCGATGCTGCAGTTTTCATCAAAGAAGAACGTGGAGAGGAAAAAAGAAGCAACCAAGGTCGGATCTACCTGGATGGGCAGGTGGAGAGCAAGCAGCCAGATCAGGACCCTGGGCAGGGATGGGGGAAGGTGGAGGGAAATCCCAAGCAGTGCAGTCATGGAAGCCAAGAGAGGACAGGAAACCGACGGGGGTTGGTTAACCCTTTAGAGGGTATTTTGAAAACTGGGGAGTGGGAGGGGGAGGGGTTGCTTATCACAATGATCGGAGGACTCTAGTAGAATTTGGTGGGTGGGGGCCAGAGATATTAAACATCTCACAATGTCTGAGATTCCCCTGCACGACAAACAATGGCCTGGCATCCTTC